ACTGTTTTGTTTGTTTTTGCATACTGGGGACTAAACCCAAGGCCTTTATGCTGAGCTACCTCCCCAGATCTTTTTAATTTTTGTCTTTTAATTTTTATTTTGAGACAAGGTCTCGCTAAATTATCCAGGCTGAGATGGAATTTGCGATCCTCCTGCCTCACCCTCCCAGACTGCTGAGATTACAGGTTTGCCCAGCTGAGATGCAGTGTTGAAATGCTACTATTACAGACAGCTAAGTTAGGTAGAAATTTATAGGCCCTCAGACAGGGCTAGACCTCAAAGAAGCCAGTGCACAAGATAAGAACACATTACAGCTATGGGGGCCAGGCCTCAAAACAAAGATAGAATGAGTACACCTACATACCTCCCTGAGAGATAACAACAGTGCTCAATATCTGAACAGGCATTCTTCACCTGCGTGGGGAACCAGGGTCTCCTGACCCACCCCTTCCAGGAAAGGTCCTTGTTCCTTCCATGCACGCTTGTTACGTGACTTGTTTCCCTGCTGGATCAGTATTACCTAAGCAACTGTAGTTGTAATCTTATTGGTTGCCCATAGTTTTGTCCCACCTTATACACGCTTTGCACTTGATCTTAGCCAAAAGGCCGAGAAGCGATATATACACGCTTTGTGATTTTGTGCCCACCTCATGATTTTGCTCTATAAAACTTCCTTTGAGAAGTGGGCTTGTGGACAACTTTCTGGGGTTTACAAAATTCTTCAATTTTATAAACACGAACTTAGTGTATTGTACATCTAGCAGGTTCCCTTATATCATTTGCAGGTTCCTGATATCATTCCTGTAACACTACAGTCAAGATGTGAACCTAGGCCATCTGGCTCAAACTGATCTTAACTAGTATGCAAAACTCCCTCTCAAAGCAGTTGCATTAGTAAGTAAAATGGTGGAAATAATACGGATTAAGGAGGTTCCAGGAATAGAGGATGCTTGTTCGTGAGGAACAGGGAGATGCTCCACATGCAGGACTGGGAATTTGGTCCCTGGGGCCCCTTGGGTCACAGAAGGCCCATGTCAGCAGCACCAGCAAATGACAGTCTGGTCCCAGCTCTGCGCAGCCTGGCTCATGGGAGGAGGAAGCGTGTGGGCCTGGGAGAGGCTGACCCGGGTGGGTCACGTGGGGTGATATGAGGGTGAAGCCTTGGGAACCCAGTTTCCACGCCCCGAAGGATGGAGCAACTGGGCTGACAGGGCTAACAGAGCACACCTCCCTGGAATGCGAGGCTTCTGGGGAGGCTGCCTTGTCTCAGCCTCACGAAGCCTGGAGTCGGAGGGTAGGTAGGACAGTGGTGAGACTAAAAGCCCACACAGCAACAGTGCTGGAATAATGAACACTGCTGGTGAGAAGGATGGTAGATGTTGCTGCTGGTCTACTACTACCTGGCAGGAATCCCTGAACTCGGTGAGGCCCATATGATTATCCCCAATTTATAGACAAGACCAGCTGAACAATTTCATAAAGGTCAAAGGCTACAAGACAGGCTCTTTGCCACCAGGTACATGACATTTTGGCCCCTGATCTCACCTCTCAGCCACACTGCTGTGAACCAATGAAGTGACTTGCCTGTGACTGGTGCCAAACCACAGGAACTCTGAGCAGTCAATGCACCCAGGCAGTGTTTTCATCTAAACCCATTCTGCACTTTTCTTGTCTATGTTGAGTGCTGTCAACCACTCCCATGAATGCAGTCATGGAGAGTTCGGTGACCTCAGGGTTTGTCATCCAAACCTGCACTCTTGTGAGGGAAAAGAGACCTTACCCATTCAAAACAGGGCTGGGATAAGAGGCAGAAACTGAGACGGACCCAGGCACACATGGTCCCTGGATGTAATCTGGGGTCCCAGGGAGCCAGCTCCTCTTACATCCAGAGGATGTGACTCCACTGAAGTTTCCTACCTTCCACCATGACTCCTTTACCACTGCCTCTCCTTCCTCCTCTAAATCCCCTGAGCCTCTAGACCTCACGGGCTGCGCCTTGAGTGTGAGGCAGGCGCATGGGAGAAGCAGGGTGGGGATTGTTTCAGCAAGAAACCTGAGAAGGCTGGGGAGACCCTTGAGCTCTGGTAGCCCAGAAACTGGACTCAGCTTTTCTGACGATCAGTTAACCCCTCAAAGTGAGAGCTCTGGGGCTATTCTCCTAGGGCAACCTGAAGCCAACAGGCTGGCTACCAGGGAAGGGCAAGGGGTAGCAGCTGCTCCTGCTGCCCAGCCCCACCAGAGATCATGTGGCCCCCTGCAGGGATGCAAGTCCCTGTGGCCTGGCCATGTCCTTTCCAGGAGCATGAGCCCTGCTTTGAGGGGGTGCAGCTGCAGTGGCCTCTGTGGCTTCACTAGTCCTGGGAGGAAAGAGGTGGCACATAAAGGCCCCTTTTATGTTACTTCTTCTGTAAGAATCCACCTTCTTAAGAGTCACAGGCCAACAGAAGAAAGAATCTGTTGTTCTTTGGAAGCCAGGAAATCAGTCTCCAATCCAACTTGCACACAATGCAGGTAAAGTAGAACACTAACAAGAAAGCAGTGGGCACCCATGTATGCTTGGAAGGCACTGTCTTGAGCAGTTGCTCCATCGTGCGGCATCACAAGGCTTGCAGGCCGGGGTTCTTGAGGCACAAGAAAGGCTGAGTCGTGAACAGCCCTAACTCTGTGCCCGCTGTTGGTGGCACCAACTATCAGGGCTCTGAGGCCTCGCCTGAGGCCGCACAGTGAGCTTTTTATCTCTTGCAGAGAAGCTTTTGCTAATGACAGTTTTGCAAGAACTTTCCCGAGATTAGGCACATGCACTGGGCTCAGGAGTGAGGCACAGACTTCCCTTCCCAAGGGCTGCCACTCAACCCACTACAGCTCTTACTATTATCACTATTATTACTTTTGTTTTTTAAAATTGCTGTAAGTCTGTGATACATAGTAATTATAGTCGTCTTGAGGACCTGGTACATGTGCACACTGCATCTTTGCTTTTACCTCCTCTGCCCTCCTGGTCCTCCCCTCCTCCCCATTCCAGTCATCCTCTTCCCAGCTCCACAGGCTACCTCCTTGCTTCCTATTATTTTATTTTTATTTTTCCTCTTTAAATTATTTATATTTTGGGTTTCTCATGTAATAGAAACCATGCAATATTTAATCTTCTGTATCTACTTTACTATGGTCTCAATGCATCCTTTTTCCTACAAGTGACTCAACCCTATGCTTCTTTATGGCAGAGGAGTTCTCCATTGTGTGGAGACACCACATTTTCTTTAACCATTCATCTGTTGTGCATCTAGGCTGATTCCAGCATCTAGCTCTTATGACTTCTGCTGCTACAAACATGGGTGTGCATTATTGGTGTTGTTACTGAGATGGTACCTGAGATTAAGAAAAGGGAATTGCCACCTAGAAAATAGTGAAAGAGCAGGGACTAGAAGGGCTTGCAGCTATCGTGCTGGGAGCTTGTGGTGGGAGCCAGCACAGGAGCATCCTGGAGATCTGTGAGTGGCCCTGGCTCAGGTCACCCTGACAGGGATGGTGGTGATGCTGAGGGGCTGAAGAACGCTGAGCTCTGACAGTGTGCCAAGCAAGGAGCTGAGCAGCATGTGGCTGATGCTCTCCACCCTGACAGTGACCATCCTGGCAATGGCAGAGCCACAATTACCCACATCTTACAGATAGGAGACAGGGATGGCTCAGAGAGACTGGTTAATGATGTAGCAGGTGCTTCCCAGGAGGCTGAGGAGCCTGGGTCACCCTGACCCTGGTATTGACTGGGCTGTGAGACCCTTCATGGCTCACTGTTCTCTGCCTTTCACAAGAAATGTCAGCCAAACGCAGGGCTTGGAGATACACACCAGCCATTTTCCTTTGGGCTTTCTCTTCCAAGTACCATAACTATCTGTGCTCCTTTTCCATGTCTACCAATGGATAAAAAAATTTTAGCAGGGGGAGCCATACATTGCTCATCTTATAGACAATGCTAACTAGGCCACACAGATGAGAAGTGCTGGTGTTTAATTTGTAAAATTTGGCTTCTTTGAGGGCGGTGATCAGATCAGCATGACTGGGGAAGGAGGACAGGGTTGAAGACAGCAGGTAGAAAGAGGCTGGTGTCGGGCTGTGCAGCGGCTCAGGCAGTGGGCAAGAAGCCACATGTCCCTCACGGCAAACACCACCTAAATGCCACCTGCTGCCTCACTGTGGGACTGCTGGGCCCCCTCAGCACCATCTATGCTGCACACCATTTACACTTTTGGTTTCTCATAGGTGAGAAACCGTGTACTGTTTAACCTTTTGTGTCTAATCTATTTCACTCAGCTCAAAGACCTAGGTATAAAAACAGAAACACTGCCTCTGCGGGAAGATACACCAGGTAAAATCCTTGAAGACACAGGCACAAGCAAGGACTTTCTGAACAGAACCCCAGTTGTACAAGAAATAATACCAAGAACCAACAAATGGAACTCTCTCAAATTAAAAGTCTTCTGCACACCAAAGGAAAGAACCAACAGAGTGAAGAGGCGACCTACACAATGGGAAAACATTTTGCCAGCTTCTCCTCAGAGAAAAGCATCTTCTTATGAAGCTGACCTCTGCTGAAAATACCACAAGATGGATCCCTCCTAAGAACACCCAGCCCAAAACCCACAGGAGGATGAGGAAGTTGGGTTTCTAGTTCTTGCTGGTCAGCTCCTGCCTGTTACCCAAAGGAGTTGCTCTGCACTTCCTTTTTATTTTGTTTTGTTTTATTTTCTGAGACAGGGTCTAGCTATGTGGTTCAGGCTGGCCTTGAACTCAACTTAGTCCATATTGGCCTTGAACTCAAGGCAGTTCTCCTGCCTCAACCTCCACAGTGCTGGGCTGACCTTGTGTGCCACCACACCTGGTTTTGCACTCCTAACTCTCTGATTCCTCCTGTGAGCTTCAGTCACTCACAAATCAGGTATGGGGGGAATGGAACCTACCCATCACTCTAAGTGACTGGGACAGAGTCAACGACAACAGCTTACCTGTGACAGCTGGGCGCTGGCTTATCCCTGGTGCTGAGAGGTGGAGCTGTTCTCCTAGACAAGTACAGCGTGGAGCTCCAGATGTACACAGCTCCGCTGCGCTCCTCCTTGGCTCCCTGCTGCACTGCAAGGCAAGTCAGAGTCATACGGTTAGCACATAGGCTCAGTGGTCCCCTGTCTGCCTGCCGGTGGCACAGGGCTGTGGCAAGACCCCGGGCACCTCACCCCTTGTCAGAGGATAAAGGGGAGCAGGAACAGTGGTCAGAAGAAGGCGCACGGATCCGATTCCTGAGGCTGACAACAAGAAGACACACTTCGACTGAGACCCAGAGCCTTCCAGCAAAACCTACATTTTTGAGCCAGGCACCCGCATGCCTCCCCAATGAGTCTTTACTAATTAAGATCTGTCTTCCATGTGAACCCTCAGCTTGCATTGTAAGGTGGCTCACTGTGGCTTCTTGTCCTGTCATCCTGTTCTGCAGCCTTGACCTCCACCTTCTCTACCATTCTTCCAGGCTAGCAGTGGTCACTTCCTCCACAAGCCTTCTCTGATAACCTGGGCATCACATGCACACTGACCTCTACCCTTCTAAACTCACACAGCATTTGCTGTCTGCACTACTCAGCATTTGGGCCAGGAGCTGGCCTGGACTGTCAGGGCAACCACTGGGCTTCTTGTGCCCTGTCTGGTTTTTGCACTTTCACACACCTGATGGTCTCTTCTCCATGCACAGGCCTCTTCAGGACCACCCACCACCTTCAGGATAAATCCACATGCACCACGCACCACTTTCCCACTGTCCCCTGGACTCCTCACACTGCAGTCACACCACGCTGCTTCCCGACTGTGCATGGTGAGGCCGCACAAAGGGTAACTTCTCTGTAGTAACAGTTGCAGAGTCTTCCCTTGGGCAAGCCCCAGCCCTTCCAGGGGTAATCACAGAGGAGGAGACCAGGAGCCCAGGCACTGTGGTGGCAAAGCTGAGGACAGCCAAAGTCCTGGGTCCGAAGCTCACTCTACCACAGGAGCAGCCAGCCCACGAAGCCACAGTGTCAAAGCAGGCATGTGAGGCTCAGGTATAAGATAGCTCCTTCGCTCTTTTCCTCCACACTGGAGCCAGATTGTTACTACTTTCCACAGATGCAGGAAGCGAGGCTTACAGCAGTCACAGCTCCTGTCTGGACTTGCACTCCAGCTTTGATCCTTCTCTATGGTCCAGAGTGGTAGATCTACCAGTTCACTGTCCCCCCCCATGGCTCACACTTCCTGCCTCACATCCTGAGTAACAGCACCCAGTTCCTGCCCCAGAACTCAGTCTTTCTGTCAGGTCCTGCACCACAGTGGACATCTTCAGGTTCCTGCTCCTAGACCAGACCAAGATGCCTTAAATGGAAAGACTGTGAAAAGAAACTTGTCGCTTAACAGACGCAACAGACAATGCCACCCTCACTTCTCTGTGCATCGTTAAGCGGTGATCAAAAACCCTCACCAGGCTGCTGTCTCCCCGACAGTACACTGAGATAGCAAGTGTTTCGTTTGCGGTAGAGACCAGGGTCCAGAAGACAGGGAGCTTACATGTCAACAACACCACACTAGAACCCAGGTCTGTGGGGAATATATCAGTACCAGCTCACCAGGCCAAACACCCAAATCTCTTGAGGTCCCTTGAGCAGGCTGACACCAGTCATGACCACAGAAATGGGCACATGCCCTGGCCAGTGTTGTCAGGTTTTTGTTCATCCCAGAAAATCCATTATTAAACATATGGCAGCATACCATCGAATGGACCCGAGAGAACCCAGAAGATTTACAGTGCTATCCCCAACTTGCAAATCCAGTGAGTTGCTTTCTAGAATAACCCAGGTCTTCTCCTCCAGAAAGGACAGAGGGGCATTTTGGTAAATGTAAAGCTGTGATGAGACTTGGGCCGCTGTCTAAAAGCATCCTGTGTCGTTATATCTGAAAGCGCTGCCAAGGTGCTGTTAAATGTCCTACTATGTACAGGAGAGTTCCACACAAATGCCACAGTGCTCCAAATGACAGTGGTGCCAAGGATGAGATGCCCTGGTATAAGGGCAGCCAAACACAGTAACTCAGTCAAGTTTCTTGAGCATATCATTATCTAGAAGGTAAAGAATAAGGAACTGGGAGCCAGAAGCAGTGGTGCCCGCCTGTAATCCTAGCAAATCCTGCAAAGAAGGCGGAGGAAAAGAGGATCACAAGTTTGAGGCCAGCCAAGGCTACACAGTGAATTCAAAGCTACCTTTTACTACATAGCAAGACCCTGTTTCGAAAAGCATGCCCCTCCAAGGAGCTGGGATCCTTGGCACACACTAGAGGATCCTTGGAGCAGGACATTGTAATACATGCTACAGTGGGTGTGTGTGCTTGAGCTCTTGCCCTAGCATGGCACTGGGCACACTGTGGGTGCTCAACAGTGGGTAGGGGAGAACAGGTCTAGGTGACACCCCATGGCACACCCCAGTGTATTCTCACCCTGTCTGCCATACCAGGCCAAGTGCAACTTCGCCTCCTCTGGAAGGGAGCACCAGGAAGGAATGGTGTGAAATTCCAGCCCTACAGACTCAGGTTAAACAATCAGCGGCCTGACAACCCCAGAGCAATGGTCAGAAGAGCCAAGTTATTTAGGTCCCTTTCTAGCAGGAGCTGAAATACCTTGAAAGGCGAGGTTCCCTATGTTGCCCTCTCTGGGGACCCAACTGTTAAAGATACACAGCCGGTAGCTTTGCTTTTGACACATTCAAGATCACTTTTAAAAGACAATCGTTATATTCCCATACCACTGGGAACAGAAAATATATTTAGTACAAACCACCCAAAGTGGAGAGAGGATTAGACAAAAAACTACAGCAAGCTCAGGGAGCTGGCGGAAATCAAGGAGGCCAGACAAGAGGAGGGTTCCAGGGACACCTACTGTGCAGAGCATTGGAGCCACAGGCCTTTCCTAGACCTTGCGGGGGCGGGGGGACCATGCCCTCAGAGGCAGCCAATGCCTGAAGGACTGGAGGACAGAAGGGGGACCTCCCTTTGTGTCTTCCTGAAGATCGGACAGGACCATAAACTCTCTTACTCACAAAGCCCTTTAATTAAAAGCCTGAGGGCTCAGAGCTAATTCCAGAATGGCAGAGCTCAGTGGCTTCGCAGGCACCAGAACTTCTGAGCAGAGTAATGAGGATAATTTTGCCTTTCCTTCCTGAGCTATGAATGACAATGTGCTCAAGTATAAATTAGCAGCCCTAATGCCAGGTGGGGAGAAGCTTGAGCAAATGCCTTGCTTTGTGATGAGGCCTTGTGGCCCAGGGGAGTTGGGCTGCCCCAGACCTGGTCAGCTCACCAGCTTGCATCTGATGCAGCATTTTTGGTGTCCAGCAGAGTCTCTTATCTTGTTGCAGAGAATGTTTCTTATGTTCCCATGTGCTTACGTGGAACTCAGAAAAAGCCAGTTATGATCCACCTAGGATCTGGGGCCACAGAAAGGAATCAGGATAGCTTCAGAGAAGAAAATTCCAAAAGCAACCACACACTAATCCAGCTCAGCCCACTGTGGTGGTGCACACAACATTTGGGAAGCTGAGTCAGGTGGATCGCCATGAGTTCAAGCCCAGCCTGGAGTACATATTGAGACCCTGTCTCAAAAAGCCAAATAAACAAAACAAAACAGAACACTGCTCTATCATGGCTGAGCATGGCACCTTCCATCCTTTAACCCAAACACCCATCTGAGCAAACAGCAAATGGATTTCTTTGATTTTAATGTTCATGCCTTAAACAAACTTCTTCCATTTTCTTTAAAACTTTAAACTATAAAAAGTAACAATATGGTGACGCCTAGGTACTATCTGTACTCCTCAGGCCCTAGTGAAGCCTAAACCCCCAGGGTTATGGCATTCTGAGGTGAGCCCTTCTGGAGGGTTTAGGCTCAGAGGACAGAGCTCCTTGAGTGAGATCAGTGGCCTCCTGCGAGATGAGAGAAGTGATCACCTTCCCCACCGTGTGGTATACTAGGCCACCTGGAAGTAGCCCTCAGCAGACACTAGACCTGCCAGTGCCAGACCCTGGACTTTCACCCCCACTGTTTAAGCAGTCTGTCTCCTATGACTGCACCCTAAGCCACTAGTTCATGAGTAATGGCAAAGCCATCTTGCTCTGCTACCGATAATCCCTCGATTTAGTGGCTCATAAGCATGATTTTGTCCATGCTAATGATGGCCAATATTCATGCATATCCTTTATGCACAAAGCACTTTAGGAAATAATGCATCCTCATCCAAATAGCTTCAATAACATCTATATATTCAATAACATCAATAGCTTCAATAACCTGTCCTTTTCCTGGTACACACAGTGAGGCCCAGAGTATTGTGGTGAACTTTCTGAGGTAACACAGCCAGTCAATGGCAGAGAATCTTGAATGTGATGCTGTGTTCTCTCTCCCATAATGACTGCTTTCTCACTAAACACTGCACTGACACAGAGAAAAACCAGGTGACACAGAGCCTGGAAGTCACCTCCTTCTTCAGCATGTCACTAAGCATGGCGCTGGGGGCCACCAGGGCCCTGGGAGTAGTGACCGGGGCGGTGATTGTGACCTGATCTTGGGGTCTAGATAGAACTGCACACTGACATCACATAGGACAGTCACTAACCCCAACCAAGTTCTTGTGGGGGACGTTCAGACAGAAGGACAATGACCAGGAAGAAAAATCTCTGAGGTTTGCACTGCCAATTTTCATTAGCTTCCTGTATCTCCTCTACCTCCCGCCACGAAGATGCTGAGAACCAAGAGCAGTGCCCAGGTTGTGTACTAACAGCCAAGAGCTATGGGAAGATAACGATGAGACAGTGTGGCGGCTCTAGAATGGGCAGCAGAGGCTGAAGTGGGAGCCCCAGGGGCCCTGCAGACGGGGGCTGGTGAGGACAAGGATGAGAGAAGGGGAAGCTCAGACAGAAGGTCCAGAAAAATACACCCAGAGCACTCTCAGTCCCAGACAAAAGGAGGATTTTCAAACACAGCCCTTTTGGAATCCTAGTAAAGAAATAGATGGGTAAAGAGTAATTGGCCTTCATGAAGCAATAGTAGAGTCTGCCATAAAGGACGGGCA